AATCCACTCACCTCAGCCTCCCAAAGCACGGGATTACAGGCTGAGCCACCGTGCCCGGCTTAATTTATTTCTTAATCTAAGGGGTAGGTCTGAGGGTATTACTAAAACTACTGTTTTATATGTGTGAAATATTTCAGTCTAATTTTAAAATTTTATAAAGCGTTTAAGTGTGATACCTGCTAAAATGTAGATGAACCTTGAAAGAGTTATGCTAAGTGAAAGAAGCCAGACGCCAAAGGACAATTATTGTATGATTCTACTTATAGCAAAGCCTAGAATATGGAAGGCCATAGAGACAGAGCACTGAGGAGCAGTTGCCAGGGGATGACGAAAGGAAGAGTGGGGAGAAAATTGGGTATGGGTTTGTTTCCTGGGGTGATGGAAATGTTCTAAACTTGAAATTGACTGTGATGATGGTTGCATGACCCCGTGATTATATTAAAAACTGCTGAACTGTACATTTTTTTAAAGAGATGGGGTCTCACTATGTTGCCCAGGCTGATCTCAAAACTCCTGGGCTCAAGTGATCTCTTGCCTGTGATTTCCGAGTTACAGGGATTACAGGTGCACGCCACTGCACCTGACTTGAAATGTACTATGCACTTTGAAAGGGTGAATACCATGGTAGGTGAATGGTATGTCAAGAAAGCTGTTATTTTTAAAACAGTTGACTACAAATCATGCATGAGGTTTCCCGGGCATTCCTTGCTGTGGTGGATTTTATCCTTCGGCAGGACTTGCAGGTGGGTTGACCCAGGAGGTATTTCTGACTCTTTGCAGGTGCCCAGGGTGGCTCAGTGGCCCACACACTCCTGGAAGATGGGACATTCAGGGTTCGAGTGGTGACCCGGAACCCTGGGAAGAGTGCAGCAAAGAAGCTGAGGCAGCAAGGTGCAGAAGTGGTACAGGGAGACCAGGATGACCAGGCCAGCATGGAGCTGGCCCTGACCGGGGCTCACGCTACCTTTATCGTGACCAACTACTGGGAGAACTGCAGCCAAGAGCAGGAGGTCAAGCAGGTGAGGACAGGGAGAGGGCTAGGAGCAGGTTGTGTTAGAAGGAGCCTCGAATTCAGGACCAGTCTTGGCAACATAGCAAGACGTCATCTCTTCAGAAAAATTTTAAAAATTAGCTGGGCATGGTGGTGTACACCCAATTACCCAGAGGCCGAGGTCACCTTGAGCCCTGGAGTTTGAGGCTGCAGTGAGCCCTGACTGTGCCACTGTGTTCTAGCCTGGGTGACAGAATAAGACCCCCAACTCAAAAAATAATAATAAAAAATACAGCCAGGCTCGGTGGCTCAGCCTGTAATCCCAGCACTTTGGGAGGCCGAGGTGAGAGGATTGCCTGAGCCCACGGGTTTGAAACCAGCCTAGGCAACTTGGCGAGACCTCGTCTCTACATAAATAAAAAGTTAGCAGGGAGTCGTAGCGTGCTTCTGTAGTTCCAGTTACTTGGAAGGCTGAGGCAGAAGTATCATCAGAGGCCAGTAGGTCAATGCTGGGATGGCCATGAGTGAATGTGTCACTGCACTCCACCCTGGGCAGCAGAGTGAGACTCCAACTTAAAAATAATAATAATAAAAATACACTGGGCACTGTGGCTCATGCCTGTAATCCCAACACTTTGGGAGGCAGAGGTGAGAGGATTGCCTAAGCCCAGCAGGTTGAGGCTGTGGTAGCTGTGACTGTGCCAATGTACTTCAGCCTGGGTGACAGAGTGAGATTCCAACTCAAATAAATAAAATAGGTTAGAATGGACCACTGGTTTCAAAGTTGCTTTTAACCTCGACCCTTTCTTCAATTATAATTTTATCTGGAAGCCCATTACATGGTGGACAAAGATTGTATAAACAACTTTTGTAAATACATATAGGATAGCTTTTTTGAACTTATACAGCTGTACATAAAAGTAGCTGATATTAGTTAAGCCTGTGTCGACAATTTGGATTTTTTCACTTGTACATTTGGGACTTTTTTTTTTTTGGTTGATTAAAGTTGCATATGCTAAGTGTGAATGAAGTGAATGGCATCGTTGTGTTCATTTTCTCCCTGAATCTCTTCTTCCTCATTTCTAACCAGTTGAGCCATGAGGCTCAGTGTGTTCCTTGAGGTAAATGAAGTTTTTTTAAAAAAACCCATAAACCTGAAATCTATCTTGATTTAGGAGGAAGCAACTATGGTCTTCTTCCTTGAGCCTTAAAGACCCCAGTAGGTCAGTTTAGGTGGAGCTGACCTTATTGTGGCGAATACCAGAAAATCTGTAGTGTAATCTCTAAAATTAAACCTACCTAGTGAAAACAGTGTTTATAGGGAAATCGTGTATATGGTAGTTTCTCCCAAATCATGTTTACTGGAGCATCCTGTTTCTCTAGCTCAGAGTTCTGATTCAACCCACTGAAGTCTGATGCCTGTCTTAACTGACTCCATGTGTTCTGTATCTCATTCTTAAGTTCACACTTGTTTTGTTGTTCGCCTTAACCATATACAGCATTAAAGAAGGATTCTACAGAATTCTACAGGGGCTTGGATCCCCTTTCCTGACAGGTTTTTCAGTGCTGACCTGATGTGATGATACTGATTTCTCAAGCTCCTGAAGTTTATTTGCCGGAGTTTTTTTCTAATCCTTATGATCCTGTGTGAGCTTCCTGAAGTTGATGTATCAAATGACCACAATCCACATGACTTAAAACCACAGAAATGGATTCTCTTACAGTTATGGAAGCTAGAAGTCCAAAATCAAGGTGTCAGCAAGGTCACCCTCTCTCCAAACGCTTTAAGGGATCCTTCCTCACCTCTTCCAGCTTCTGGCAGCTCCAGGTGTTCCTTGGATTGTGGCCACATATCTCCAATCTCTGCTTCCACCTTCACGTGTCCTTTTCCTCCACATGTCTTCTCCTGTCCCATCTCTTACAAGGACACTGGTAATTGGATTTAGGACCGATCTGGTTAATCTAGGATGATTCCATCTCAAGGACCTTAATTACATCTGCAAAGAACCTTTTTCCAAATAAAGTCCCATTCACAAGTTCAGGGGTGAGGCTGCCTTTTGGAGGCCACCACTTGATGCCCTAGATCACCTTAGGCAGCAGATAAAGTTGTTATCTGTGGTTCACTGATGACATCAGAATGAGTCAATTATTTTCCTGGGTCACACAGCTAGTACACTCCAGAGCCTGATGGGAACCTCAGCAGCTTTGTGCTCACCTGAGCTGTGGCCCCTCTATGTGGACTTCCAAGGAAGATGACAGAGTTCCATGGGCAGGATGCTCTCAGACAGCAGAGATGGGCCATGTGCCTCTCACCACATGGACCTCCATGCAGGTTTTTCTCCCTGCATCAGACCTGCCCATCCTACTATATTATTGCACATGGGCCGTAGTTTAGCACAACCCAAATCATCTGGAGAAAGAACTCAGAGTCTGTGGCTAGGCTGGGCACAGCGGTTCAAGCCTATAATCCCAGCACTTTGAGTGGTAGAGGCAAAAGGATTGCCTAAGCTCAGGGGTTCACGACCAACCTGGGCAACTTGGTGAGACCTTGTCTCTACAAAAAAAAAAGCCGGGCATGGTAGCGCATGCCTGTAGTTCCAGCTACTTGGAGGAAGGATCACCTGAATCCAGCAGGTCGAGCTGCAGTGGCCGTGAGCATGCCACTCCAGACTCCAACTCAAAAAAAAAGAAAAAGTCTTGACGGGCTCGGTGGCTCAGCCTGTAATCCCGTGCCTTGGGAGGCCGAGGTGAGTGGATTGCCTGAGCCCGCGGGCTCAAGACCCGCCTGGGCAACTTGGTGAGACCTCATCTCTACAATAAATCAAAAAATTACTCGGGTGTGGTAGCGCGCGCCTGTAGTTCCAGCTACTTGGAAGGCTGAGGCGGAAGGATCGCCGGAGCCCAGCAGGTCAAGGCTGTGGTGGCCGGGAGCGGCCACTGCACTCCAGTCTGGGCAACAGAGTGAGACTCCAACTCAAAAAAAAAAGAAAGAAAAGAAAAAGTCTGTGGCTAGTAGAAGTCGTCCAATTCTATGGTGATAAGCATGGTACCATGTGTGCGCATCATTCTGGGAGAGGGGTCCTCAGGGGTCAGTGGGGTCTGACTCCTGGCTTCAAGGACTGTGGCAACTTGGATTAGAGTGCTGGGATTGTGACTGGGGACACACATCCTTCTTCTTAGCCTTGTGGTCTCTCCTACCTACAGGGGAAGCTGCTGGCCAATTTGGCCAAGCACCTGGGCCTCCGCTACGTGGTCTACAGTGGCCTGGAGAACATCAAGAAGCTCACAGCAGGGAGACTGGCCGTGGCCCACTTTGATGGCAAAGGGGAAGTAGAGGAATATTTCCGGGACCTTGGCGTTCCCATGACCAGTGTGCGGCTGCCCTGCTATTTCGAGAACTTCCTGTCCTACTTCCTGCCCCAGAAAGCCCCAGATGGAGAGAGCTACTTGCTGAGTGAGTTGCCCTTCCTTGCTCAGGAAGGAAGGCAGACTTCTTTTTTTTATTTAGTTGGAGTCTCACTCTGTTGCACAGGCTGGAGTGCAGTGGTATGCTCACAGCCACTGCAGCCTTGACCTGCTAGGCTCAGGTGATCCTTTGCCTCAGGTGATCCTTAGCTGGAACTACAGGCACATGCTACCATGCCTGGCTTATTTTTTTGTTTATTGTAGAGACGAGGTCTCGCCAAGTTGCTCATGCTGGTCTCGAACCTCTGAGCTCAGGCAATCCTCTTGCCTCTCGCCTCTGCCTCCCAAACTGCTGGGATTACAGACGTGAGCCACACTGCGCCTTGCTCTTTTTTTTTGAGTTGGAGTTTCACTCTGTTGCCCAGGCTGGAGTACAGCCTCAACCTGCTGGACACAGGCGATCCTTCTGCCTCAGTCTTCCAAGTAGCTGGAACTACAGGCATGCGCCACCATGCCCAGCTAGTTTTTTTATTTATTGCAAAGATGAAGTCTCACCAAGTTGTCCAAGCTGGTTTTGAACCCCTGAGTTCAGGCAATCCTCTCGCCTTCACTTCCCAAAGTGCTGGGATTACAGGCATGAGCCATCGCGCCCAGCTTAGCTGTAGATTTCACAGAATAGGAAAGCACTTCTCATTGCCCACTGGCAAGTCCATAAACCGGCTAGATGAGCTGGCCCTGGCTTGGAAGGAACCTCACCCAACCTGCATCCTGCCAGTCAGTCAGAGGATCAGAGCTGGAGGCCCAGGAGGCCAGAGTAGGGAGAGTCAGGGTCTCCAGCTGGCCACTTACCTGCATGAATGGCAGTTGGCCCTCGCACAAAGGGGTATCGGTGCTGCCAGGGGAACCCAGGAGAGTCCTGCCCACCCAGTGAGTGGCACCTGGTGCTAGTGGTAGCCCACTGGTACTGCCCTTTATAGTGTACAGAGCTGTAGTCAGGGGTATCCCCATTCTAGTCTCTGAGTTGGAGCTCCCTGGGTCATCTGAACAGGTAGCTGCAGGGCCCCTGTCTCTAGGTAAGGAAGATGGTAGGATGCAAGGGCTTCTGACACCACACCTGGGGCCACACCTAGACACTCACCTGCTTCCCCATCTATAAAACCGTAACCTGGAAGGTTGTGAATCATTCACCCATTTAGTATTTACTGAGCACCTATCGTGGCTAGCATGGATGTGCTGCTCTGGGCCAGCTCTGGCATCTGGTTAATCAAGATTCTTGGTAATTGAGTTGGCATCTGGAGTATCTACCCACAGGTGGTGATTCCAGCTTCCAGGAATTCAGGATATGACAGAGGGCCTCAGGGCTGGTGCCTTGGCATCAGCAGGGACACGGCACAGCCCTCCTCTTAGTAGCAGCCTTCAAAGCCTCCAACTCAAAAAAAACAAACAAACAAAAAAAACACCTCATCCTTTGTCCTTCATCCCTGGTTGGTGATGGGGGGCAGGTCCAGGTCCTTAGGCCTGTTCTAGGAATGTAGTGCCCCAGGCTCAGAGGGTCCAAACAGCCTGCCCGAGGGGACAGCACTCTAATTCTGTCCCTATCTCCTGATGCATTCAATTCCACCATTGCTTCTGCACTGCCTCAAACACCAAGACACATCTTAGCCATGCCCGAGCGCTGACTGGTGGGAAACCAGCTCTGGCCCTTTGGAGAGGGCCCGTCCATGCCACTGCCTGTCCTCAGGACACGTGCCAGCTTCTGTCTCTGCCCCACAGCCTTGCCCATGGGTGATGTTCCCATGGACGGCATGTCTGTGTCCGACCTGGGCCCCGTGGTGCTCAGCCTGCTGAAGACGCCAGAAGAATACATCGGCCAGAACATCGGGCTCAGCACCTGCAGGCACACCGCTGGAGAGTATGCCGCCCTGCTCAGCAAGCACACTGGAAAGGCCGTGTGCGATGCCCAGGTGGGCTCCCTCCCCGGCGCACCTAACCAGCCTCCGTGAGGTCTTTCTAACTCCCCCAGGGGCTTTTTGGGGGTTGTGGGGAAGGAGTATCCAGGGCTGCCCCACCCTCTGGCCAAGGCCAATCTAAATTAATTTCTTAATTGTTAACATTACGTTGTGCTGTTCTGGGAGGTAAGTGTGGCCACAAAGTGAAATTTCTGGCTTAGGTGTTTTGACCAAATAGAGAGAATGGTTTCCAGGAAGAGAGGAGCGTAGGAGGAAGGCAGAGAGGTGAAAACGAGGACCTGCCGGGTTCCTCTGCGGAATATGGTTTGAAGGAGGGAAAAGGGAGGGGTCAGGAAAGAGGCCTGACCTCTGACCCTGCTTGGCCTGGCGAGTTGGGCAGGTACCTTGTTTCTTTTTCTTTTTTTTTTTTGAGTTGGAGTCTCACTCTTGTCATGCAGTAGCATGCTCATGGCCACCCCAGCGTCAACCAGCTGGGCTCAGGTGATCTTTCTGCCTCAGCCTTCCAAGTAGCTGGAACTATAGGCGCACGCTACACCTTGCTAGTTTTCTGATTTATTGTAAGGGTGAGGTCTCACCAAGTTGCCCAGGCTGTTCTCGAACCCGTGGGCTCAGGCAATACCCTCACCTTGGCCTCCCAAAGTGCTGGGATTACAGGCTAGAGCCACTGCATCTAGCCAGGTATCTTGTTGTTAATGCTTGTCATTACCAGTCTAAAAGTAAGGCCTACTCATGAAGGAAGATCTGAGAGACACAGTCATCAAAAGTCACCTGCAGAGCCCTACCCATCCATACCCAAGCAGAGGGTTAATGGTGAGGGTGCAGGGCAGGGAGTAGCCTGGATGGGCCAGACTCCTAGACTCAGATCCAGTTTTAGCCCTCAAGATCCACCACCAAAAGACTAGGCTCGGTGGCTCAGCCTGTAATCCCAGCACTTTGAGAGGCCAAGGCGAGTGGATTGTCTGAGCCTGCAGGTTCAAGATCAGCCCAGGCAACTTGGGGAGACCTCATCTCTACAATAAATCAAAAATGAGCTGGGCATGGTATCGTGCACCTGTAGTTCTGGCTACTTGGAAGGCTGAGAAGGATGGATCACCAGAACATAGTAGGTTGGTGCTGGGGCGGTGGTGAGTGTGCCACTGCACTCCAGCCCGGGTGACAGAGTGAGACTCCAACTCAAAAAAAAAAAAAAAAAAAAGAAAAAGATTTACCAACGTGTGCACTTGGGTACATTCCCTGATCCCTCTGTTTCCTCATCTGTTAAATGGGTGTATTAATAGCCACCTCCTCAGGTTGTTGTGAGGATTAAATGACAGAACCAATGTAAAAGCTTTCTTACCACGATACCCAGCACCTCAAAAGCATGCACTAAACGACCATGTGTTAAGAAAAAGGTCTATAAGAGGTGTCGCTTGGTGAAGTGCCCACACAGGCTCATCCCTGCTGGTCGACAGGTGGCAATGGCTGCTGAGCTAGCAGAGAGCTGTTGCTTTTCCTAGTTGCTCTCTTCCAGGCTCTGACCAAAGGTCAGCATGGCCCATGGAAAGCAACGAGAACTTGCCCGCCAGAAACACTTGAAGAAAACCCAAGAAATTAGCAAAGGAAAAAGAAAAGAGGATAGCTTGACTAACTCTCAGAGAAGGCAGGATTCTGAGATCATGCAGCAAAAGCAGAAGGCAGCTAATGAGAATTCTATGCAGACAAGAGAAAAATGATGACTGGCTATTCAGAAAACCTGGGTACTACTGCCAACTGGGTGTATCATAAGCTCTAAGGTCAAGATTTTGTAGTGTGAATGGTCATTACATATGTTATAACTTATTCTTCTAAAACTGTCTATTTTATTATTATTTTTTGAGTTGGAGTCTCACTCTGTTGCCCAGACTGGAGTGCAGTGGCCACTCCCGGCCACCGCAGCCTCGACCTGCTGGGCTCCGGCGATCCTTCCACCTCAGCCTTCCAAGTAGCTGGAATTACAGGCATGTGCTACCACACCCAGCTGATTTTTTGATTTATTGTAGAGATGAGGTCTCGCTGCCCAGGCGGGTCTTGAACCTGCGGGCTCAGGCAATCCACTCACCTCAGCCTCCCAAAGGCGCGAGATTACAGGCCGAGCCACTGAGCCCGGCTGGCTAATTTTTTAATTTATTTTAGAGATGAGGTCTCACCAAGTTGCCCAGGTTGGTCTTGAACCCGTGGGCTCAGGTAGTTCTCACCTCAGCCTCCCAAAGTGCTGGGATTATAGGTGTGAGCTACCGCGCCCAGCCTAAAACTCTCTATTTTAAACTTTACCTTTCAGCTTGACTTTGTGTTATGCTTTAGAGCCTTTCTTCGAGGAATAAAATACTTAAAGAAAAAAAGGTCTAGGCCGGGCACAGTGGCTCATGCCTATTGTCCCACCACTTTGGGAGGCCAAGGCAAGACAATTGCCAGAGACCAGGGGTTCGAAACCAGCCTGGACAACACGGCAAGACCTTGTCTCTACAGTAAATAAAAAAATTAGCTGGGCGTGGCGACGCACACCTGTGGTTCCAGCTACTTGGAAGGCTGAGGTGGAAGGATCGCCTGAGTACAGCAGGTTGAGGTTGTGGTGGCTGTGAGCAGCATGTCACTGCACCCCAGCCTGGGTGACAGAGTAAGACTCCAACTCAAAAAAAAACAGGTCTGAGCCGGATCATGGTGAAGCTAAGAAGTTAAGATTCAGCTCAGTAGGGAAAAGGGAACAGCTTTGGTTTGAGTTTTTGAGCAACAAAGTGATGAAGCAGCTCTCTGATTTGGAAGGGACTGAAGTTTTCATCTCATGATCTTGAAAAAATAGTCTTTATGCTGACCTAAAACTTCAGGTAGCTCACAAGAACAGTGGCTTCCGAACTTCTAGCTTTTTACTAAAAGTAGAAAGTTTTCCAGTGATATCTTATCGAGACATCCACCGCAGCGGCTCTAGGTGTAGCAGGTCGGGAAACCCCAGCCCACCAGGTCTCCCCCACTCAGCCTCCCTCCACTGCTTCTGTGGTGCTGGAGGGTGCCCGCCATGACAGGATCCCTCTGCTTCCAGGCAACTCCTGAGGACTATGAGAAGCTGGGCTTCCCTGGGGCCCAAGAACTGGCCAACATGTTTCGCTTCTATGCCCTGAGACCCGACCGCAACATCGAGCTGACCCTGAAACTCAACCCCAAGGCCCGGACGCTGGACCAGTGGCTGGAGCAACACAAAGGGGACTTCATCTGGCTGTGACCTGCCCACCTCGCAGCCCTGGAGAGAGGTGTTCGGGAGGCGTGGAGGCACCATTAACCCCCCTTGTGTTACCAAAAAGATTTGTTTAAATAAAGCCATTGTTCTCACAGATGGCCTCCAAAAGAAAAGGCCTCTGTTTCCAGGACCTGGGTTGGGGCAGCTGGGACACCAACAGCATACAAATTCCTGCAGGAGCTATCCCATGGCTGGGCAGGCAGCCCTGTCTTCTCCCTCTGCAGTAAGGGGGCTCTAGGGCTGCAAGGTCATCTGGTAACTGAAGATAAATGACCTTAAATGTGTGCTGACTTCTAGGCCCAGCTTCTTGGGAGGCTGAGGCAGGAGGATCACTTGAGTCCAGGAGTTTGAGGTCAATCTAGGCAATATAGCAAGACTTCATCTCTACAAAAAATAAAAAAGCTAGCCAGGCATGGTGGCATATGCCTGCAGTCTCAGCTACTCAGGAGGCTGAGGCAGAAGGATCACCTGAACCTAGGAGGTCGAAGCTGTGGTGAGGCTGGTGATCATGTCACTGCACTCCAGCCTGGATGACAGTGGAAACCTGACTCAAAAAAATTAAATAAAAAAATAAGCCAGTTTAGTCAAACAGTTATGAAATAGAGCATCCCAGGTCTGGCCAGCACCTTCCACTCCAACTACACAGACAGGAGATACAGAACAGAGGAGCCCCAGGCCAGCCACAGGGGCAGCACCTCTGAAATCCCTGCACACACCCCTTCATCTCCAGAAGTAGTGAGGTCACCTGTCCCCTCATTGAGTGGAGACAGTCTCAGGAGGGGACAGGGGAAGGCACGGCCCTTCTCCCCCTCATCCTGGGTGCAGCTGGCCTTCAAAACAGGATGGAAAAACGCAGCAAAGGAATGAGGCAGAGCTGTGGACCACAGGGCATGGTAATCTGACACTGCCAGTAAAGATGATGATGGTTGCAGCAAAGGAAAAAACCAGGGGAGAGAAGACCCCACTATGCTTAGATTGGGTCATGGAGAAGAGGAACAGAGGCTGAGAGATCACAAGTAATTCGCATAAGAGAGTCCATAGCAGGTCTGTGAATTTTTTTTTTTTTTTTTTTT